CTATCGCAATGCGCCACCAACGCCCCGCACCTTCTCGCCGAATCTTAGGCGCTGCTGGTGCCTGGCACCAAGTCCTCATCACCAACACTGGATGCACCACCCACCAATAATCGTTTCTCTGCACACGCACTCATGAAATCGGGCCGCGTCGTCAATATAAGTGTCCCATTTCGAGATTGCTGCCTTGCTGCTTAGTGCCTTGCGCGAACAGGCTAATATCGCGAAACCATCGCGCAGTCACGCCCGCGCTGCTGCCGACCGCACGCTCTTTGTACATATAGCGCTCGTTTGTCTTTCCCTAGTCTCTAGTACCACAGATCACCATGGAACTGCCCGACGAACTTTACCTCGAGATCTTCTCACATTTGCCCCAGCACCACCTGCGCTCAGTATCTCAAACATGTCGCGCTTTTGCGACCATTGTGAGGCCGCTGATGTTCGCCACAATTCATCTAGATGGCTCTCCCCAGAGCAGATTTGGCAGGATGGAGAATAACAAGTGTGTCATGTACCCGGGTCGTTCACGCACGGTGGAGTTGGTTTCTTTGGAAAGTACCGTGGATGAGCTCATTGCGCACGACATTGCGCGGCATGTTCGGAAGCTCAAGTTTAGTCCCAAATACTACGTAGATGGTAAGTTCAGCCGATGGATATTCATCCATAGCCAGACGGATACTGACTGTTCTCCCAGGGTTCTGGTCGAGGTATCGCCATTGGCTAGAGCGTGAGCAAGATTACGAGGAGGACTTTCATCGAATGTATGATGAAGAAGACTTTGAAACTGACTCTGAAGGTGAGTATGCCGGAATTCGTCGTCTCGCCGCGGAACGACTAGCAAGACCCGATAGAGAGCGCGAATTGATCGAGCAGGCGGAAGCGATCTGGGCCGCCAAGGTGGAGGAGCAGCGCGTAAGGGCAGACGCGGTTCTAGCAGCAATGGTCAAGCTCTTCGCACATATGCCGTGCCTGAAAGCTATCGAAGTCCAAGAGTGGCATTGTGACTTGGGTGATTATGGATTCGAAGAGGGCGGCGAGTGAGTATGGCCACATGATTTGCATGACACCAAACTAACGCAGTCAGCGATGAAGTAGACGAGCAGTTCTCTGGATGCGGCACGACCTGGAAGCACCTTGAACTCCTATGCTCCGCCGTTCAAGCGTCGAACAGTCGCACCCAGAGTCTGGTTCTCCCCAAGATTGATCCATCTTCAATCACGACAAGTGCCGCCTTGGAACACATGTTCAGCTCTCTCACTGCACTTTCGTTCAACGCCGAGAGTGTCGACTTCATGCTTGACTCATCTAACATCGAAGTTGAATCCCTCGCTGCCTTGATTCGTTGCTCATCGGAAACGTTACAAACACTCGAGTTCCGCAACATGACTACATCACATCCACAACTACCGGATGTGGGCGAGCACTACATCGCAAGACTCTTTGGTAGCGTCAGTGCCACCGACTCAGCAGATATCACACCGCTAGTCTTTCCGGCCTTGACAACTTTGAAGCTACGAAGTTTGGTCCTGGACACACCGTCTCTCATCACCTTTCTATCCCGACAGCCGCGATTGCGATATGCTCGCTTCGAATACATCTATCTCGCTACCATAGGGTACAAATGGAGCGATGTCGCCCAAAAATTGCCGTCATCGTGCAACCGACTATATATTGGTAACAGTGGGCACGAAAAGTGGGGGCCAGACTCGCCCGCAGCGGACAACCACATCAAGAAATTCTTACCGTTTCAAGACGATATGCCGGCTACATCAGGTTGGCGACTCAATGATGCCGCTTTTCAAAACGAGATGGACAATGAGATTCAACGAAATATGGATGGCGGAATGAGGTTTTTGCCACAGGAACGCTGGTTTCAGGGCAAGACGAAAGAGGAATGGGTGGATATGATGCGAATGGCCAGCGAACATGCAGAGTTTGAGAGAATTTGATTAGTTTTCCAGGCAAGGAGGTTAGCTGTTCCTCCCAGTGTCTTTGTTGCGAGATGATTAGCATCGACACGGGTGGAAAGGACAGATGTAATGAAGTTGGCAACATATCAAAATGACGAGATTTTGGCAAACGTATATCGCAACTCCCAGTACAAGACCGTGCTATAGCACGACTATCGTCATAAAAGGTCTCATTGCAAAGGAACTCCAGGCAGGTATCAGATACGCGCTCGCAATTGACCTATGTCGATAAGAAAACGATTACATCTTTGATCCTCCAACTGTTCCTGTGCCCTTCGCTTTGCGACTGCTGCTTTACGAACTAGAACCGCGGCCATACACTCGCCGTCCTATGCTTGATTTGCACCGAGCTAGTTGTACCCCCGAGCATACGTCGCCGGCGCTTCGTGAACAGATCCGATCGGCGAAGAGACAATTGGCGGGTGGTACGCGCGATCGCCAGCAGGCTCGTACATCGAAACATGTGTTGATGGCGAAGTAGCGTTATGAGCCAAGAGAGGATGATGTACCATTGGATACCGTCTTCGGTGGGCTGATGGGATGATGAACGCGTTGCGCCGGCAGAATGTATGGTTGTGTGTACGAGGTCGTGCAGTCAAACGAGGAAGCATTCACTTGACCGTGCATCGCAATTCGGATCGGTATGGGTGTCGGTACGACTGGTGACTTTGGTGTAGATATCTGACGTCGTGTCGCGCGGCTATGAGGGGTGGAAGCTGGGGTATGCCAAGGCGCTAATCTCCTCACCCGTCGTGATGACCTGGAGCGATTCGAGACGGTCGAAGATAGCGTTTCGTATATGCGATGAAGCGGTGGTTAAGGACCACTCGTTATGTGATCTCTCATGTAGTTCTCGTTATCTTCCCACAAGGGATCGGCAGCATTGAATGCGAAAGGAGTGGCGGCGCGGCGATACGCAGGTACAATCACCGCATTCGCGAGGTTGGTCTTTTCGCGCAGCGGGACGCGTGCACCCATCTTTTGCGGCAACGGTCTCCGAACATTCGTCGTGGAGTTGTCGGCGTAGATAACAAGGTTAGGTTTGTGTCTTCTCTTTCTGGAAGGTGTGCGTAGATAACATTGTGAATTTGAGATTGCGCAATTGACAGTAGTTACAGTGGAATCTGGAGTGGTTACAGGGTGATATTGCGCAGACGCCTGCATTGTGATGGTAGCGGTGGTGCCGATGATGTTGCTCAAGGTTTTCGTGACGAGATGAGTAGTAGTAGCTTAAGTAGTCACGATCAGCGTCGCATGTGGCATATGGTCGGTTTTTTCTGGTATTTTTCTAGGTCAGTTTGGAATGCCCGGAACGAAAGACCAAAGGTGAAGGGGACGGTTTCGGGCCTGGTTCGCCCTCTCGCGCTGAACCAGAAGTGCTCTTTGAGATCCCGATTCACCTGCACATGAAGTCTCCTTGGTGCCCCTCTTGAGCCATATCCCATTCCTATCGTGTTCAAGGCGTCCGTTGTGGACGCTAGTGCATCCGTGGAACATCTAGATACCTGATACTAGGCAGAAACTAGACACCCCTGCAGCTTACAATGGACAGCGAAGAGCAAATTGTAAGCCTTAACAAGGCACGTACCTGGAAACGCAGCCGAGATATGGATGTATTCACGGACTAGTGCTGCCCAGTCGTATGGATGTGAGCCTCATCTCCTCGCTGCAAACTCGCGCGTGTTATTGTATGTGCTTCGTCAGATCAGGAGACAGATGAGCTGGATGTCGCATCGTTGGAGTATCACTGTTGGGAACCGGGAATTGATCGCAGGTTAAGCGTGTTCGAGACATCGTGGAAAGGATACGGCGTGAGCTTCGCTGAAGATCGTGATGTGACGTTGGAGATGCATGTGCAGCTGGCGGCTGACCGCACGCTAAGTCGCGCCTGGAATAGCACGGGTGCCCGGGTTCGCTTCAACAATTAAGTGGGTCGCGCGCTGCTACGCCGGTCATGGCTGAGCCACATGATGGCGTTCAACACATCACCGAGATTCACGCGCTCCATCCTGAGCAGTAGCAACAACGAAATTGCCTATCGAAGTAGTTATTACGGCTGGTAGACTGCCTGTACTCTGATCAGTGAGGAACATGTGACGAGTTTGGGTCTTCTGTTGACGATGGCGGATGTGGCGTTGGCACGCGCTGAAACCTGACCCGAACATGAGCCCGACAACTTTGGAACCGCCTGTGAGGGGCTTTACAGTTGCGCATTCTGGTTCTATGCGATCGTGTGCGCTCTGCGCAAAGACATCAGATCTCCCCGACCCATCGAGAGTGACTTTGACAAGCATTACGCATGCCCAGGTGGTGTAGGGGGTCGATTCAGTGAGAACCAGGGGACATTGGGGACGACTGTACTGGTGGCTGTAGCAACTCAGAATTTGCGTCGCTGCGACGACAATGCGAGACATTAAGAGCAAATACTCTGGGAATACCAGTACGTAACGACTACGGTACAGCGTAATGCGTGCTACGTGCCCTTTGCAATCGTTCGTAACGTAGACAGCCTGCAAACAATGACGATGCTGATCTGGCCCGTTACCTGACTTCTTTGAGCATCTATCGGGTTTGACAATCTTTCTATCGCGCCAGCAAGCCAGAAATTCACCCATGAACACAATGGCTGTTAGGATAGGCTCCTGCGAAGGACGACGGTGTTGATGCATCCAGTGAAGCTGCGTGGTGGAGCGCCGCAGCAATGCCTGCATCCGTCCTCGATTGTCCTGACGCTTTGATGAGAGCTCCTAGGTTCACTGCCGGCTAGAACTTCTCAGCTTCTGCCACTTTGTCTCTGTGAGATTGTATCCTAGTTCAGGGATACGGTCGAGTTCTTCATTGCCCAGATTGTCGGCACTTTACTGATGACCGTCTCGCATGTGGCAAAGAAACGAAGGGGGAGGAAGTAACTTAGTACGGAACTCACAATTTGACGTACTTCGTTGCAACCATCTCGGATACGATCAAACGACATTGATACCTATAGAAACACAGGAGACTACCTAGATATTGTACAATTGATTCGCCCCCCTTCTAGACCAACCACTTAGCCGATGTGTAGCAGCTGTCGCTCCCAAGCTGAAGCTGGCTTTCTGGTACGAACAGCACCGTACCTGTCGCATGGTTCAAGGAGGCTTCGTTCACAGGGTGGTTGTCGTCGTCGGCCTGCTCCACGCACGTTGGGCCCTCCCATAGGTTCTCTATCGCATGCATATCGTTTGCCATATCAGGATGGGCGAACTGCTGCAAGCTGCGTTAGCAATGACCCATAATGGGAGAAAGAGATGCCAGCTGACCGTGCTGTGACTTACTGGAACGTCATGGTCCGGTAAGATGGATGACGAGGGCCAAGGTTGGTTCCATGACGGGCGCCGTGCGCACTGGACATCTGATAAGACGGAGGACGAGCGCTTGCGCTTCTTCGGTGGAATCGTAGGCAATTCGCATAATTGAGATAGCCCTGAAGAGTCGTACTCTCGGCTCGAACATGGGGCTGCGCGCTCCTCCGGTGATGGTAGAGAAGAACTCAAGGACTCAGGTGTGAACCCACTGCTGATATCGTCGAGCCACAGGCTTATGGAAGTGGCGTTGTCCAATGGAAGACATATGTCGTGAGTTGAGTTCATAGCCGCTTGCGTTGGCAACATTGGAGTCCGCTCCAGTAAAGGCGGCGGTGTGGAAAAGCATTCCGGTGTGGGGTCATCCCAGTTGGTCACATCGCCGCCACCGAACTCGGGGCCGTTGGACATGTCTTGGAGCCAGGCCAGTGGCAGCTGTTCATCAACCACAGTGGATTGTTGCGCAAAGCTGAGAGTGGGAGAGCCAGCAGCAACGCGATGACTGGTGAATATGGAAGGGATGCGAATTGGGCGCGCTCTCCTTGTTGTTGTAGCTGCGATAAAACTACCAAAGTCTTTTGTCTCCAACGACATGTCATTCTTGTTCGGTTCTGTCACCCGTATGGAGGGAATTTTGGGAGCTTCAAGGGTACCGGAGTGATCGTTGTCCAAGGAGAACTTGTCTTTGGCCGAGTCGGCAGTCTGCATCATCATCAGACTGATCGCTGCTGCGATGTCATCGAAGTCTTCAGTGTCGGTTTGCGGACTGGTGGAAGGTTTCGTTGGCTCCATTCTCTGCATGGAACGGGTGCTCGTAGCGGGCGCGAAAGGGTCATGGCCAGCCAGATCCATGAGATCTTTTGTACCTGTGTCAGCGATGGAGTAGACTGGCAATGTCGAGGCTTGCTCTACGGAATCGCTGGTGAACGCAGGCGAGAGTTGGCCCTTCAGGATCTTGAGGAATTACGCTAACTCTGTCCCTATGTGCGTCTATATAGATACTTATACTTGTCAAGTATCCAGATCAAGGCTAGGGAAGTCCGCGGCACGGTATTGCCTTGGTCGTGGCGCTAGATCGTGAGACGGCCATGACTAGCGTGTGTGTTCACACTTGACCCCCATGCGCGCAAGCGAAGTCCCGATGTCAGCTAAAGACATGGCTGTCGTCATGAAAACAAAGAACTTTTGACCAAATGCGTTCACAAAGTACCAGAGCTGGGGCAGGCAGAACATGGTTTTCGACCCAGGCTGAGGTCGGGTTTCACCTCGCGCTGCGCATTCAAAGTGACTCCAAATCTCGCGCGGGCCATGATGGTGGCAGTTTGATGGTCGTCGCCGTGTCATCAGTCTATGGTAAGTAAACTATGCGTACACATACCGGTTGATACATGCAGTCTGATCGGTTGCGACTTTTGAGCTAATCCAACCTCCAACTGGAAAGAAAGTCAAGAAGAAAGTAGAGATGGGAAAAGAAGACGAAAGAGAAGGAAAGGTAATACGAATGAGACCCGTTCAAGCCGACTGCAATAGGGTGTAGCTACTAGTGACGTTGATCACGGCCAATTCGAGGACAGTGAAGACGCACCCATTCAGCCTGTGCGTGATACAACTTGTGGAGACCTGCGTGAACGCCCTCTTGATGATCTCTGGCAAAGTGACTACACTCCTCGTCCAAATGGCGGTCTACCTTGTTGCGCATCGCCCTATTGGCTAGTCCAGGATGCGAGTAGGGCACCGAGAACCCAACATCACCAGCAGAGGTAGCAAAGTCTGCACGCAAAGGCTCGCCGAATCCATCCATCCAGAAGATCAGAACGCCTCTCGTGAGAAGCCAGTCGAGCGCCGTTACCCCAAACTTCTTGCAGTATTCCGACATTGCGGGATTGACTGGCGGAGTTGATCCGTGGCCATCGGTGCTGACTTTGATCCCGTGGCGGTAATGAATTGTCGATATCTGGATGGCGTCGCGCAGAAGCAACAGCAATTTCTGATTCAACTGGCCAAGGAGAAATTGACGTGTGTGAACAGTCTGGAGGCCGGAGTGTTTGCCAGGTACATGCACAAGTTGCACACGGATGGGGATATCCGGTCGAGGAAAGTCCACAGGCCACGACCACTCGCGACGCATCTCGATCTGAAGTAAGCCATGCACATCCATTTCGACGTTGCGCAGGGTCGTCGTGGGGATGAGCTGAAAGGTAACAGAAATGCTCAGATGCCTGTTACGTAACAATGCCTAGTGCAAACAATCGAAGCGATCTGGACCTCCGGCATCTTCGCGTACATAGCGAAGGGGGTCCCAGAAACCCGACTTATCCTTAGAGGTGGTATTTATCGGAAGGCGCACCGTTACTGGCTCGGCCAGCATTGTGATGGAGGATAGCGCTTTCAGCCGAAAGGAGCGATTCAGAGCGAGCAAGGCGTGTAGGTGCTCGAGGCCACGTATCCGGCGCATACTAAGGTCTACTTCAATTGCCGAAGACGGCTCTTCCGCAGCCGCCATGTACGCCGAGACGATGCGACCTTGTACGCTGAAGGGAAGACCCGCCAATCTCGCCTGGCTCTTCTTTGCTGGGTGTCTGACGAGATGAGGGTGAGGATGAAGCTCCGCAGGGAGGCATTCAATGGACATGGGACATGCACCTGTTGGCGTAAGACACTCGATGGAGCTCACGAGCCCTTCTGTTGAGCTCTTGAATCGAAGAAGGCAAGTGCCGGATGAAGAAATTTGGACGCTAGCGAGCAGCTTTCGTGGTGTAGTCAGAGCGACCGGTCCATAGGCAATAGCAGCAAAGGCGGCGTCTGCTGCACAAAGCGCGTCTGACCGGTCTACATCGAGATCATTGGCATAATGCTGGTGGGCAAGAGCGTATTTGATGTGACACCGGTCCAAGCGAAGTTTCCAGAGCGCGCGCAGCAGGGGTAGGACCTCGAAAAGCCGTGCATTTGATGTGGTAACCGGATGAAACGATTGCAGCTCGTTCAGGTCGCGACCGCGGTGAACGACGTGTACGGTTAGGTGGCGAAGATGCCTTGCTTGTGATCCCAGTCCCAAAAGCCAACTAGTTGTGTGGTTCAGGGCAGATAACCATGTGGAACCCGATGCGGTCGCGGCAAGGAAACGGTTGCGGGTGTACAAGATGCCGACAGCTTCATGATATATTTGCCGGCATGTCGAAAGTAGCGCTACTGGAGGTACAGAATTCTGAGATGCATGCGCAGATGGCGGGACAGAGAGTGCTATCGGCTGCTCAAATTCGAAGAGCAGCTCGTAGACTATGTTACGTGCCTCACCCGAGAGCTTGAGAAAGCTAGGTGTCTGAGAATCGATCGGATGCTCCGTGACTTCCGGTATCGACACCGTATCTGCCGGAGGTCCCAGTGACAATCGCGGATACGCAGGCATGTTTCTGAAGGTGGAGATGCAGTACTATCGATATGTAGCGGTAGTCCAAGGGATGGAAACGGTGGAGGTAAAGAGGCGAGGGGTTTGCAGAGGCACCGAGCGTGCGGGAGAGGAGACGATACCCGATCGTCGGTGGTCGGCTGCGGCTTGTTGATGCTTGCGCGCTGATACGCATCGATGTCGATGGCGGAAACGGTCGGCGCTGGCACTGCTACATTGATTGTTGTTAGTACTTCTCATTGACTGGTCGCATTGTAACAGGCAATGCTTAATGTGTCTGACGGATGCGTTTACAGCACCAGACATGACTTGGAAACTCTCGTAGGCTCACCAGAAGGGCGTGAATCGTCTGGAAGCCAAACAAACGCTGTTGAATAGTAATCCGAGAGTGTGGAGAAAGCGACACAGTATATGAGACGATATAGGCCGTGCAAATCGCGGGCTCACAGAAAGAAAGGAATGGTCGAGGAGATGACGGATCTGCTTGCTTGATGAGCGCACCGGTGCCAAGATGCCATTGCGTGGTTGAGACTGAAACATGCAGCTGGCCATCAGTCGTGTAACATGGGAAGTGAAAAGCGACAGGTAGCGGGGTGAAGGCACTGCTCTATCCACAAGCGAGGCGCAAGAATACCTGTCCTTCTGATGGAATGAACATGGTAAGAGTTTGTAGATTCGATCCGAATATTTGGTGACATATCGATCGCATCAACTGCGTTGTGGCCTGCAACCCAGCCGCGTGCTCGTGGCATTGCATGAAAAGTGGAATGACTAGGCGATGTTCTTTGAGGAGGTGTCGGATGTAGTTCAGTGCGTAAGGCGTATCAGAGGGTGCACGGGTCGAGACTAGATAACTGGATGGTTCATGGCCATTGTGAAGAAGAGGACAGCATTGCACCTAAGGGTGGCGAAGGGTCAGCTCTTGGTTATATGAGATGGAAGATCTGTCGCACTCCACCACATTTGCAGGAACAGATGGGTTTGGCGCGAAGGTGGAGAGAATCTTCTGTGGTAATTGAAATGGGGACGGCGAGGTGGTTAGCGATGATGACGATGGCCGCGGGGGTCTGTGCGCCGTGCCAAGCAGACTTTCCACCATCCCCCACGTGGCCGACCGAGAGCCGCACTAGAAGGCTGCCCAGGTGTCTCTGCACCGCATTGCCCTCTACCATTGCCACCAGCGGTCCTTCGTTCCGGAACCTCAACAACGGTATCGCGTTTCACGTCATCGGCTGGTCAACCCATCCACGCCCACTGAACCGGCACGTCCACATCGCACTCGGCCATGGCTGCGCGGCCGACGTCACCAGATGCCCACTTGGCATGTCCGTCTCCAGGGAGGGCGGCATGTCGCCGGTGGCGCGCACAAGTCTTCATGGGCAACTACTGGCTTACGCGATTACAGACATGAACGAGACCAACTCGTACCGGAGGAAACCACCCTGTTGTGCTCCAGTCACGCCACAGAGCCTCCTCAACGCCATACAACCTATCATCAGCCACCCTCGATCGCCTCCGACCCCCTACAACAATGGACACAACCTCTACACGTGCGGGAGGATGCGTGAACGGCGCATTTGCGTGTCACTGCAACAAGAGCACTCTCTGACCGTACGCAGGCTACACCATTCGCAATAACGACCCTTTCCCCCCGACGGGCCCCAGAGCGAGGGAATGATGCGACAGCTTCAAGCAACGGCGGCCCGACAATGCACACACAATGTCACAAGCGCGCCTCACTCAAAGCTCATTGAGCGTTTCTCGATGTTGACAATCGACGCTGCAAACCAGCTATCCGAACAGTAGAAAGGGTTGGAGCCATGCACATCAAAACAACACACAATGGAGAGAGTACAGCCAGTCCCCTTTTCGGTTGGGGCGGACTACAGCCTCACGCACTCTTTTCTGCTCATGTGCGCGGGGTTGGAGCTACTGCTGCTCGTCCATTCATCGACGTATGGACCTCGGTCAGTACCCCATTGGAGTACCTAGCTTGCTTGGTACCTGAGGGGGGAAGAGTCTGCACGCCATACACGCCTCTACCGTATCATTCCAGCAAGAGGCTGAGCAGATGCGCTGCCGTCTATACGAGTAGAAATACACAAGTAGTGAGGAGTCTGAAGGCAATGTCGACATAGGCGCCTGGCAATTTGGAGCTGCTGCGATTGACAGGCCCTGCTCCGCATGTACCTTTCGCGTCTTATGATACACGATCAGAAAGCAGATGTCGCGCGTGATAGGCTTTCTCCCGAGCACTACGCGAATTTCTCGACCATCACAAGGATACTCTTGGCAGAGGGCGAAGTCCATATAGCTCCATGCCTCCACTACCGCGCTTTCAGCACTCAGTCGAAGAACGGCATACCTATCACCGATTGCCTTCACGACCGGACTTGTGCAGCCTGTCGCGCTTTTTCACGCTTGTTCACTAACCTCTCACCCTCATGCCAGACTATACGTTGGACTTTCTCCAGCTACGTATGCTTACTTCACTCCCCTGCTCCTTCGCTGGTATCTTGGTTGCTTCAGGCGCCCGAGCCTTTCTCAACTTTGTCTCGTCTATTCCATTCCCTGTTTTGCGGTTCCATACATTCCAAAAGGTCACTTTCTAGATGGCAACCGCTGTTTGGAAAGTATCGGTAAGGAGCGGACTGATACCCAGGAAGGACACATGGAAGTCATACATATGCGCACATTGCACGAGACGACCCGGTAGTCGGCCACGTAGAGGTCACGGCCCCATTCATCCGACATGCGATCTTCACAGCGTACCGTTGATAGAACTCTCGTTGAGAGGAGAGGATAGCGAAGCCATATCAGCCGTCGCTAGTTGTGAACACGGTTTGGGTGAAACGACTGTCGTGAATTTCGCTTTCGCAGCACAGGTTCACGTCGCCAAACCACACATGTGTCTACACGATTGAAGTGGATGGTCGAGAAGCAATCACGTTGAACTTTGGCAGTATACCAAACCTTGTACACCGACAAGCATGGCTCTGACGGAGGCGGTGAAAACTTCGCAAGTTAATTCCCAGTGGCGTTCTATAAGTAGATAGCCGCATTCATGGGCAAGCCCGCCAATGTAATTATGACGCCGACCTCGGTTTGTATATTTGCGGGATGATTCTTATAGAGACAACAGATCTTGAGAGCTCTTGTCGAACATGGTAAAACCCTTGAAGTAGACGACGCTCTGCTTTCGTTCTATGATATTCGTTGTGCAGGGTATTGGTGGACATGCGCGGCGGTACTGCAGATGGGAATTAAGCATACTAGCGGAACGATACTTGTAGCCTACCCATGAAGAATGGCGGATGATGCTGGAAAATCGGGCTTAATGCGCAGAATGTGCGACAACTTTGCGAAGTCGGATACGCCTCTCTGGGCCCCGCAACAGCTCTGGTAGACTGATCATGCTACAGACGGTAGAGAGATGTAAAGAGACAATCCCACCGCCATAAGATTGAGGC